ACATTGAAAAACGTTATCTAATAAAGCCTTTTGTAGTTGTGATAAAAAACTAAAACATACAAGTCTCTAACACAATTTCAATTAATTAATCTAGTAGAATACTTGCGAGGAAATGTTCAAAATCACTGTGCACTAATGACTACAGTAATCTAATATTTAACACTTGAAATTTTAAATTAAAATTTTCAAAATTGAACATTAAAATATGACAAAAAATTTAAAAGATAAGATATTAGGATATATGAAGACGAATCTCTAAAATAAAAAAATAATTATAAAATTATATTATTTTAGTAAATTTTTATTAAAAAACTAAAATATCTTATATTTAAAATATAAATTAAAGTATTTATTATTATTTTTTATAATATTTTATTAAAATAATATAATTTTAAGATTTTTTTTATAATCTTAAAAATAAAATGAAGAAACACTTACTTCTTTAAATAATATCAAATTATAAAATAAAAATTCAAATACAAGGCATGTCTCTTAACAAATCAGGCATCTAGTTTCAATGGTTCATGCCAAAAGATTAGTATTTAAAATCAATTAATCAATAATTTAACTCTTACTAATTATTTAAAAAATTCTCTATTCTCTCCATAATTTTTTATGTTCAAAAAAAAAAAAGTCTCTTAAAATACGGCCACAATTTTTTTTTTTTTTAAAAGCCTATCTGATATTAAAGGCGAAAAAATAAAAACCCAAAAACCATGTCGAAAACCATAAAATATTGAGCTTCGTTAGAAAGCACACCCAAATGAAAAAACTCTCTTAATTCTGAAACTATTATTATTATTTTTTAAATTATCATTTTTATATATTTTTTTTGTAAGAAAAAATCTAAAACCCTGGTTTAGAGAGTTCTAGAAGGGATTATTTTGGTTCTGGGGGGCTATAGAGGGGAGATTTGATTTTAATTGCTTCATGTGGTTGACCACTTGACAGGCAGTTCCTCTTATGTTCTTTCCTCCTGTTTAGTATTTTTAGATTTGGTATCTGTTTAAAAGGAATTCATCTTTAATATTGTTTGATTTTAATTGGCTGGAAATAGTTTTCCCGGCGAAATTTTCCGGCGGACAATAAGTCGGGGTTTTTGCACAGAGAAAAGCAGATTCTATTCAAAGTGTAAAAGAACATAAGGGAAAATAACAAACGATCCCAAACTTGACATCAAGGTACAGATTTTGAGACCGACAATCCAGAAAAATAGAATTTTCCCGGAAAATTTTTCTCGAAAAACAAACAGAATCAAGCAAAAAGAAAACCAACCAAAAAAAAAAAAAATCCTCCACCAGTATACCTTATCATGATCGACATGAGAATCGGTTTCTTTAGAAAGGAGGAAACTCAAACCAAGAAAAAAAAGAGTGTATTTAATACACTGATTAAACAGAAGATATCTTTGTTCAGAGGAAGCGACGTGTGGACCGAAGCGGAGTCCGAAGCAAGTGATGGTCGACACGTGTACGGTCTGTTGGTTATACGATGGTTAGGAGTTAGGTGCGGTGTGGAGTGAGGAGATGGGATGATAATGAGATCAAAGAGCGGAGGAGGTGGTAA